GTGCTATTTTCCGTATATACGCCACTGAGTAGAAAGGACATACACAAAACCAGAGTGGCAGGTAGATGAGCTGCACTTTAAACTAATGAATAATAAAATTTCATGTTCAACTTTCTAGTCATCTGCTTAACTTCTGACAAATATCGTTATGGTCAATGAGAGAATACTACAATATTCTGAAACTTAAAAATGTACTTAGCATACTTACTTAACAATTAAATCACCAAAGGAAGTTTAAACAAACTTTTTAATTGTATCTTAAAAATTTCTTACTACTTGATGAAATACTTTGTTTTCCATTATTTGTTTTATTACATTTACACTTTAAAGATGGGTGATAGAAAAGTAGATACTAAAATACTTACTTCACAGCAAACATCTTGATTTCTTGAGTGACTTCTTTTTCTCTCTCTGACACCTCGTCTTGCCTCTTGCTAATCAGGGATCGTGCATTTTCAATGTAGTTTTGCTTCTCCTTTATTTTTGTAAGAAGTGTACTCAAGTATAGTTTATGTTGTTCACAAGCAGCTGAGAGGAACTGGTATTTGTGGTCTTTATGCTCTAAAAGTTGACAGTCTCGACAAGTCAACTTATCACAACTTTCACAGTACAACTTCAATGGTTCCTATAAGAATAGTGGCAACAGTACTAACCCCATCATGCAAATAGAAAATAACAGTTCTCAACACTTCAAGTTGTATATTTCAATTATTCAGTGATTTTAAAGTTGTGAGCTCATTACAATTCAATTTCATTTGGGTGCAAAATACATGTAAACTTTACTTTAAAAGTCATCAACCAAAAAAACCCATCATATTTATACATCTTATTAGAACAAGTATTTTATAACCTACTAAAATTTAATTGTATAAAACTGTAGAAAAAATAATAATAATTTGCAAATAATGTTCTGATGCATTTTGTCATTCTCCCTTACAACAGCACAGTCCTATCTAGTGATTTCTAAATAAGCCTTAATTTGTAAATTATTTAGAAAATGGTTAAGACATATGGTGAAAAATATATGCCAACAGACTATTATAAAAATATGTGATCTTCACCATTATAAAGGGTCTTCTTTTGAGGCCTTAAAGAGATAGCCTTCAAGAATTTTTACAAGTATTATAGAGTAAATAATTTTTAAGAGAGAGAGAGAACAAAATGAATTCTGTATGAAAAATATTTTGTTCAGTAAAATTAATTTATTTTGGTTTTGATACATTAATCATTTTTTTGAAATAAACATTATCACACTGAAGAAACACAATTTGTTTAATGTTAAGTCAACACAAGTTTTTTAAAAGGTATACTGAATAACAAGATAACTTTTTCCATAAGCAACTTCACCTTTGAATGTAAAGGACAGAAGAGGTATTTCTGATCAAGACTCGATGTCTTCTCTCCTTCCATGTCATCACGTGGACGCACACTATGATCTTTTGTAACTTTAACCCGCTGATGAGCTTGAATACACATTTCACACAGCCACTCTTGGCAATCAGTACAAAACCCAGATGCTGGTGCACTATCCTCACAACTTGTGCAACAGGGTGCTTTTTTCTCGTACCCTTCCAAAGACTCATTGGCTTGAGCCACATTCTCAAGAATAAAAAGATGGTCAATAGCATTGCCTGGGTTAATCTCTTCATTACAAGCTGGACAGGTCACTGGCTTGGTTACTGAAGGACAATAGATATATTTATATCCCAATTGTTTTAATTTATTACAAATAATCTATGTACATGTATAATGAAAAACATCCAAAAATAAACAGAATCAACACATTCCTACTCTGTTCAAACGTTTTAAAGATAGAGTTAGATGGAAACTAGTGTGGTTCAATTTCAGAAATGCTATTCTTATTCTTTAATTTCTGAAGAAGCTACAATGATAAAACAAAGATTGTCATGGAAAAGGTTTCCTAAAATTTTCAAACTTCAAAGCAGATATTGTAATGTTTGATAACTTCATTCAGTGCTCATGGATATTTAGTTTTAGCTTTTCACATACATTTCATTTTCAGCATTGACTGAAGAATGGAAACTATATTCAGAAGCAAATCAAGTCACGGAAATTTTTTATTTTGCTCATGAGCTTGTGCTTTTTTTTTGAGGATTTTTGAATGTCAAAGGGTCCAAAACTGATTTCAAATGGTAGTAACAAAACCCAAAAATATAAGACTGCAACAGTATGGTAGAATGTGCACCATTACAGTCTTATATTCTTTTTTGTTTACTATCATTTGAGCCTAGTTTCCTAATGTATGATACTCAAAGCCCTTCAGAAAAAGCGCAAGACAAAACTTGGGTAAAATAAAAAACACAACATTTCTTTGAAGTTGTCAACTTTAGTGAATAGGAGTATGAAATTTTCATTCTTCAATACACAGATAAAACATTTGTAAGTAACTATTATTTGACAGTTTCTTTTAATTAAAATAGTATATTCAATGGTCAAAAGTATATTTTAGCTTGGAAAAAAATTTCATTTGTAATCCACAAATGTTCCTTTTGGATCTTGTGATAGAGTACAGTACCATGTGTTTGCTACCTCTTAGTTAATATATATTGTTCAAAATACTTGTTTTTCTTTTTAGTTCAGTTTGGTTGCATACAATGCAAGTGTCATTATAGTGCAGGAGACTGATCTCCTAATTGGCCACTGAACATATTTCCTTATACAGATGATAGCTGTTACTTTACTATGACATTTTAACATACACGACTATATTTTCTGTTGGAGAATTGCATAATGATTTGTCCCCATTTCTACCCTCAGATGTGTATGGTTTAAAGTCACTATGTAAAGAGCATGGCATGAGCAAGTTGACATTGCTGGCATTATTATATTTTAGTATTCAAAGCTGGGTTCTCTCCTGTTAAACAGTGACTAGATTAGATTATTTTTCAAGTTTTTTCCAAGTTTACTTTCAACAACTTTTGCTTATTTTCAGTTTCTTAGCAATCTCGACTTAATGCTTTGCTTAGTTTAACCATAAAGTTAACTGTGTTTTATTTTATTCTTATGAGGTTTTCATTTTAATAGGGAAAGGCTGAAACTGGACAGGTAAAAAAATATTACTAAAGGATTCTCCACACTTTTCTTACCAGTTCAACACACCCATCACAAAATTTGCCCTTGTTTGTTTTTTGATTGTGTTTGATTAAATAAAGATTGTTGTACTTTACACTTTGAGTATTGCTGCCTTCTTTGTCAACAAACTCAACAAGAGTTTGGAGAGAGAGACACGTTTGCTTTGAATTTCGTATAAAGCTACAGGAGGGCTATCTGCGCAAACCGTCCCTAATTTAGCAGTGAAATACTAGAGGGAAGGCAGCTAGTCACCCACTACCCACTGCCAACTCTTGGTCTACTCTTATACCAAGAAATAGTGGGATTGACCGTAACATTTAACTCCACCACGTCTGATAGGGCGAGCATGTTTGATGGGACGGGGATTCGAACCCACAACCCTCAGATTGTGAGTCAAGCGCCTTCTGTAAAAGTGTTATTAGAATAAAACACACCATTTACCTCTTTTTTTATTAGTGGGTGGCTTTACTTTCAGCACTGGATTTAGTTGCCATAATGTTTTAAAATGATTAATGTTAAAAAGATGCTAATTGCTAATCAAATTCAATATTGATTAGCAGTTTCCGATAATCAAATCCTCCAAACTATTTTGCCCTTGCACAGTGACAAAAACGTAATATGAAATTCTCTTTTTATCTTTAGAATTCCACAGAATGATAGGAGTCAGGGTATTTATTCTGTTCATTTGTTTGTAACGTAATATTACTGCATAATTCTAGAGAAACTAATAGGTATAATCTCATTACATGCAGATAACAGGATGTTCTAGTACTGCGTTTCTAAAAACATCTTTCTAGTGTTTATTCACACATGTAGAAACATAATACATATTAAGGCTTGTAATGATAATATCAGATTAGGTTATACTGCAAATACAAAATTATTAAACAACATTTTGCAGATGCATTTCAATTTTATGGAACTAATTTAGCCAATCCTACTATAATTTGAGAGAAGCTTATCCTCTAAATCCTCCAAGGTATTTGCATTTGAACCTGTCAAATATGGTTTAATCAACTAGGAATTATTCCAGATGTGTTAGGAAGTTATTTTTCTTTTAAAATGTATAGTGTTATGACTCTGTTCGTTTGTTAATTTCCGGTATAAATTATTTCGAGGAACTTCAGCGATACAAGTCCTTTCTTAATTAAAACTAGTTTATACTTTCTCGATACAACTTTGCAATACACAGAAT